CAATTATATCTGCACAAAAGTTCACCACAGACAGTTATGTATAACGGAGAAGTCACAATACAATGCGTTCTATTATAACAGTAAAAATGTAACTCATCATATAACAAATCCGTTCTGTATTTACCCTCAATAATAGCATTTATTCCAATTAACTTGAGGTGGTTCAGAGGTATGTCAGCAAGTTGGACCTTTTTGACGGAAGTTGAACCACAGAAAATCAATTTGAACTTATGATCAGTGGATTTAAAGGAGAAATCATTGCTGGAAACTTTGAAATTCTGCATTATGTAGGAACAACCAAGTTCAAGCTGTGTTTTAAATTTTGATACCAAATAAGATGGCACAATGGCTTGAATCAAATCCAACTGTGAAAATACAAACATCTTGAAATCAGTATCATATACCAGTACTGTTACAACAAAATCAGAATGGCAAAGCAGAAACGTTTAGATTGTATTATACCTTTGAATCAAACAGAATAAGCTCTAAGTGCTCTCTATTCTGAGAACTGGTAACAAACCACAGATGCTTACATCTAACAGCAACCTTCCACAAATCCTTCGAATCGTCAATGCTACTGATATACTCGATTGAGCGCGCCATCGTCACGCAGCGATTCGTAACAGCGCAGAGAGCCTTGCGTGAATGAAAACGAAAGGGACGTCTGTAGCAATGGCTTGCGTGAATGAAAACGGCTGGAAGGTGTTAAGCAATGGAGGTTATACATAAGTACACATTGGGGAAGGATTGAAGGAAGAGTGAAAAACTTTTGGTGTTCCATTTGAATTTGAATTCTGATTAAGAGAGGCATAATGGTTTGGCATGGGGAAGAGGAAGAGAGGCACAATGAATGGCAAGGAATAATGAATTGGTATTCCCCATGGTTGGGTTTCTCACAATATGTGGGATTTATTTGGAAAAAAAAATTGAAAATCTGGTGAAAAATTGTGGGAGTGCCACATCAGATTCAAATCAATGTGGTGCAAGATATTTTGGAGTTTCCAATTTTACCCCAATACAATAGACCAACAATAAATTTTTTCAGCTGTGGTGTTGTGGTAATTTCCAGGGACTATCATTTTTATAGATAGATAATAGATGGGCAACTCGTGTCTAGTTTAGACTCATTCTACAAAAATGAAAAGAAAAAAAAAACAGGACGAGATGAGAATATTTAAAGGGGTAAATTTAAAATTTTGACTCATTTCCCACTAAATAAGGTGGAGCAGAACGAGCCCACGGACATTTTACCTTTTAAATTTAAAATATAAAAATTCATATAAATATATCTAACATAAAAACTTGCTAATAAATGAAACAAAATGAAACAAACATATTAAAAAATGCAGACTTAAATCTTTGATTCACACTAAAGTGCAAATAAAAATAAATATGTGTAACGTACCAAATCTACTTGCGACACCTAGCCTTTAGGAGAGTGGAGTTATCAATTTGAATGTATTGAGAGTGATAAAAGTAATATTAATTAAAAAAAGAACTAATTTGTATTATAAATTAAAATGTATCATTCATTTTAAGATGATTTTTATTCTATTCATTGTGGAACGAAAAATATATATTAGTAGAATATAAAATTAATAATATCAACGATTAATTAATAAATCAAAAATTGATAGGAAATAGATGGATAGAAGTAATTTAAATGATATGTGATAATTGAATAAAAAATAATAAATTTTTATTTTATGATTTAATCTCTAACGACAATATTTATTTATATTTATGTATAATATAAAAGTTAATATTTAAAAATTAACACTTTAAAAATTTAACAACAAATTAAAATAATTATTAATTTCTCCACTTTAGACTTTAGTTCTTTCACATATTAATGAAAAAAAAAAAGGAGAAGACGAGAGAGAGAGTATGCTAAGAATTAAAGATGAGGTAAGTTAGGCAAAATACTCTAATCTTTCTTAATTACTTTAAGTGTCACAATTAACACTTTCACATATATATTAGAAAACAGTAATAAATAAATAAATAGAATAATAATTTTATCAAATTATTTTTATTTTAATGTATTTAAATTAGTGTTAAGTGAGAAAATAATAAATTAAGAATATTTATTAGATAATGTAATTAAAAAATTAAAAATAAAATTGCATTAAAAACTAAAAATGACAAATATTTTAGGATAATTTTTTTTTAAATATAACACTTATTTTAGAACGAAGAGAATATTATTCTTTTCATTCTCAGCACGATATACATGCTAATCTAGCAGGAAAGAGCAACTCGTGGAAAATATTTAAATTATTAGTAAGATTTAAGAGTACAAAATGGAACATGAGATATTGTTATTTTGTTATTTTTCTTCCACTAATAATAATTCTATGTCTACCTTAAATTTCATCAATGTCAAGAATATCTAGCTGTTCTCAATTTGTGATACAATAAAAGCTAAATTAATAGCAGCATCAATATTCTTTACTTACATATGGTCATTGTTAAACATTAAAAACAATTAGTAGTGTGATGTGTGAACTAGAACCTTAATTATCTCTGCAAAATAACTAATTCTATGTCATGTCCAATATTGCAGTGAATCAATCTGCATAGTTTCCATTTCATTTATGGCAAAATGTGCAGCATCACATCATCCATGTTTTTTCTTTGCAATTTGCTACTCATGAATATGCAACCCAGTTAGAACAATTGCTTTGAAAGCAGAAATTCCAACTGAAGAATAGACCCTTTTGGACCTGTTGTTTATGTTAGCACTGACAGCAAGTCCCACATTGGCTTTGGTTTGCCAACATGTTGGCCTGCCCGGTCCAAGTTGAGGGTCGACTCGTGGGACTTGAGTCTTGGCTGGGCACAACATGAGGCTGGTTTCACTGAGAGTAGAGACAAACCAGTAAAGACAGTTTTCTGACATTAACTACTTGTTTTGTGAGGCAAAATGAAAAGACAGACCATGTAGAGAGAAACTAATGTATCCTTAATTTTCCACTGACTGGTTCGGCATACATTTAAAGTTAAATTTGAATTACAATTACAATTACAATACATTACAAACACAGCATCCATTCTATTTGCTGTAATGTTGCTAGAATTTTAACAAGTAAACTAATGCTTTCAAATGGGCATTGTACATTTCTTTTGAGAATGTCCTAACATATGGCAGCGACCACATTGGACAACCCTTTTGGGACGCTTAAAGTTCTCTACTCTCAGAACCTTCTTTTTAGGTCTTCCAGGAGGTCTGCGAGTCTTTGGTGGACGAATTGCAATATCAACCCTTGCACCTCCTCCATCTTCTGCCCCTTCTCCATGCTCTCTCCATTGACTCTTGTCTGGAATAGGACTTATCACCTGTGAATAGGCCATTCTGTAACTTTGTACAGTGAAACATGGTTCAGCAAACATATGGGCATTGTGCCCACAAGAAATAAGTGCAGCAGCAGCATGAGCACAAGGTAAGCCATACAACTGCCATCGGCGACAAGAGCACTCACGACTTCGTATATCCACAATATTGGTTCTTTCAGTTGACACAATTTCAAACTCAACTTCGTTTGCTCGGAGTACTTGATAGCAATGAGCATCAGCTATTGCTTCCGAAATTCGCTTCTCAGCAGATGGTACAAGAATTGAAGTCCACTCCATGCCCACGTCTCGCCGATCATTAAACCAAGATGTCATCTGGTGGCGGATGTATTCCATCATCTGCACAATGGGGAGCTCGTGACATTCTTGGGCCCAGTTATACAACAACTCAGTTACTCCGAGTGTGAAATGGCCATATCGAACACCATCAAAATATGCAACAGCCCAAAGATAGGGAGGGAAGTGCTGAAACCAAGATATAACATCCTGTGAAATCTCTATCATCTCAGTAATTTTGCTTTCAAATTCAGCAGCTGTGAGGGCATAAACAGCATTCCAAAAGATGTTCACCAACTTTGTGTTTTTAAATGTATCGCGAAAATTTTCGCTTACATAACGCAGACAGAAACCGTGTGAAGCACTAGGAAAATGTGTTTCAACTGCCTCCACCATGGCTCTATGCCTTTCAGATAGTATTGTAAGTCTAGGCATGTTGTCGGTGTTAACTCCAAGAAGTTTCCGTAATTCAGACATAAACCACATCCAGTTTTCATCGCTTTCAATATCAACAACAGCAATAGCCAAAGGAAACAAAGCCTCGTCAGCATCAACAGCTGCAGCACAAAGTATTGTACCTAGATATTTTCCTTTAAGATGTGCTCTGTCAAGCTCTAAAAGAGGCCTACAAGCATTTATAAACCCATAAATTGATGCACGGTAAGCAATAAACAGGCGTTGAAAACAATTTTCTTGTCCGGTGGCACCAACAGATGCAATGCTACCAGGGTTCGTTTTCCTTATTTGCTCACAGTATGCAGGGAGAAGACGGTAACCTTCTTCAAATGTTCCATGAAGCGCAGCCATGCTTCGTTCCTTTCCTCGCCAAGCTTGCATGTAAGAAACAGCAACTCCGTGCTGATCACGAATATCTTGCAGTATTTCCCTTGGTTTGTATTGTGGATTATCTCGAATGCGTGATTCTACAGACCTTGCAACCCAACCTACTGATGCCTGCTGGTGATGAAGGTTGCGAACTCCCTCACAAGTGTGGTCTCCTTGTAGAGTTCTTATAGTAAAAGTAGGAACACCAGGACATTTTGCTACATGGACACGCCATGGACACCCTTCTTTGGAGCACTTTGCTATAAAACGACTGCGATCTGACTTAACTATCCGAAGATCAAAATGCATAGCTATGGCAATATCTTTCAATGATCTTCGGCAGGTCTCCACATCTGGAAACTCTTGACCAATGACTAATGGTTGTTCTGATATAGTAACAGAAGTATCATCTAAAACTAAAGAATGAGTATCCATATATATCATAAAAAAACAGAACCAGCTATGTCATGTGACTCTAAGGGTCTTCATCGTATTCATGAATTATCGAGGACTGCCAAGGATAGGCATTAAAAAATGCCACCATATTAAGCCTCCTCCCAATAACAGACTCTGCATTACACAAGAGAATTAATGTTAAATCATACACATAGTTCGGAAGAGAAAGCCATTGAAACAAAATGGAATACAGAATCATCAAGCGGACAAGGAACATAAAAGCTGTAAATAAAATAGTAACTGATAGTGGATCCTTAATAGTTGGATTACTCAAAATGAGAAAAATGAAAACAATTGCAGAGGAAGAAAAAAACTTGAAAGAGTAAAAGGACCCATCGGTAGACTTACAATATAAATCTAAATCTTAATCTACAAACTCATACAGAGAAATAAAATTTTGTGAGATATTGCTTAATCAGCCAGAACATTCTAGTCCTCCGAACAGAAGGGGACTATGTAAATAACGAACATTCACCCCTCGCAAAAACTGTATGTTTTGGGATAGAAAAGTCCAATTTTGATGAGCCCAAGAAACATCAATTGATCTAAGATAATTATTTTGTCAAGGAAAATCAATTGATTTGATCAATCTAAACCGCTATGATTATGAATTATCGTAGAGCCGTGTATGGGTCAGTAAAACTTAGTCCATAGAAAAGATTATACAAATGAAACAAGCTAAGGGTATAATACTTTTTAGATACAGGAATCATAATTACTAGAAATTTTATCTATTTTTCATTGGGTTTAATAAATATGCACTGACAGTGTAAAATTATTTTACACTGTCATACAATAAAAAGCCAACAATGTGCCTTGTCATTAAAAGAATTTTAAAATTAAAGTGTGATTTATTCTGATACAAGGTTGTGATTGGTTGACGGTGTAAAATTAATTTACACTGTCAGTGCATCACCTCATTTCTCTTTTTCATTCCTCCAACTTAATTTTGTTGATATGAAGTTAAGCAATACATGGATGATATGAACTGAAAAAGTATAATAGTTTGAACTTCGAACACAGCCAACAAAGAATTTGAGCTAAATTTTCTTCAATGCAGGTAGAAAACCAGTTCTGTCACAACAACTTTACAAAAGGATAAATTTACGGCTACCCATTCCTAATGAACTATAATCTTCCTTTACATATGTACAAGTCTCTATAGCCTTCACATCACCATCTAATTGATTATAGTTCAAAGGCAATCCATAGTTAAGAAGAATATGACTTTGCCTATACCAGTTTCGCAGCGCGTAGTGTACATGCCTAAACTACCCAGATGGTCTATTACCCCTTTACACATTTCATGTGATTAACACATAACTTCACAGCACCGCTTCTTCCGTGCATCACAGTAAATACAAGCTATTTATATACTGAACACAAATCAGTGTTCCCTACTAGCCCATTAAAACAAAGAGAAGAAAAAAAACATTTTTTTCCACTAGGTTTGATCCATAAACTGAGTTCAGGGTTCAATTTTTAAAAAAACAAAGCATAAGCATAATTAAGGGATTCACATTAAAGCTTCAAATAACGAGGGGACATTAACGGCATTGCTAACCTAGGTCAAACTTCTGCATTGAATGAGACTCCAATGCAACACAACAAGTATTAAAACCCACTTTGGATCCAGCACAATTTCTGAATCAAAAATCTAAATTTCGAAAACTACGAGGTCGGAATTTCCCTTGGGAAACACAATTAATGTTAAAAACATGAATTTTATAAGATTGATTTAACTTTTTGAGGCATAAATAAAATCGTGCACAGAGAAATTAGGGATATGATGCAGAAGAAGAAGAAGAAGAAGAAGAAAAAGAGAGTGTACCTTAGTTTAGAGTTATTGCTGGAAAGTTTGACAGTAACGGCTTCTGCTATTGTTGGTGTTGGTGTTGTTGATGTTGTTCCTTGTTCTTGTTCTTGTTCACCTTTCGTTCTTGCAATTGCGCGAGATGGTGGACCGTAGTAAACAAGCTTTTTTATTTTATTTTATTTCTCTCTCTTTTTCTTTTTCTAAAATTTTTCTATTATTTATATTTTTCAAATGCTCAAAAATCTGATATTTATTTATTTATCTACTTAATTTATTTTTTATTTTTATATGAAACTAATGAAATATTTGCGTGGTACACACATTTTTATTTTTAAAATATAATATAAAATAACAAAAATGAAATGAAAAAAATATTAAATCATCTAAATAAAATAGTTTATTCAAATTAGTTTAAATATTTTTTTATATATATAAAAATATTTTAATCAACAATATAATTATTTTAAAATATAATAAAAATGTAAATCAGAAAATAAAATTGTTTTATCAACAAAATTTATTATTTTTATAAGAAAGAATATTTTTAAAAGAAAAGTAAAATTGTTTTACTAAAAATATTCTACATCAATAATATATATTTTAAATTTTCATATATTATCTTTAAAAATATTATCCATGCATTCACACGTTACTAGTGTATTACCCGTGCGTTCGCACGTGTATTGGTGCGGTACGTTGTAATGTCATTATTTTTAATGATTATTAAAAGAAAATTAATTGAATGTATAGTTAATGAAAAAATATTTTGATCACTAATTTTATTTTCTCGTTAATATTCAATATTTTAATAAGTAATTTCATGTTCATATAAATATTCAATATTTTAATCAATAACTTCATATTCCCATTAATATTCAATCACTACAAAAAAGAAGCTTATTTGCCACGTGAAAATCACGTGGCAAACATCAAAATCACGTGGCAAAACAAAATTAGCGACGTGGTGACTTATGTCGCTGGGGAGTCAGTGGCAAGCAAGTAGCGACGTGATTCCCACGTCACAAAGTTGTGACGTGGTATTCACGTCGCAACATATTTGTAGCAGGGAATATAATAGCAGCTTTATTAGCGACGTGAGAATCATGTCACTAATTTGTGACATGATTCCCACGTCGCTACAGGGGACGTTTTTATTTTTTAAAAAATTGTTTAGTAATTATTTTTTATATTAATTAATTAATGTAATAAAATTTAAATAATAAAATTTATATAATAAAATTTAAATAATAAAATTTATATAATAAAATTTATATATTAAAATTTATATAATAAAATTTATATAATAAAATTTATATATTAAAATTATTAGAATAATAGTATTTTATTTTATATTTCGAATAATATAATTTTATAAAATAAATTCATATAATTAAATGTTATATAATTTAATAATTTAAAATGATAAAAATAAATATCTTACATAAATGCAAATATAAAAACGAAATAAAAAAAATGTTTTCACGGGGCATCTTCACCCGGATAATTATCAAAATCAAAGTCATCAAGTCCGTCATCATCCGGCTGTGTATGATCAGGAACATTTTGATTTCGACCGCCTTGCATAAACTGTCTCATCTGCTCCTCCATATCAGATTGCCGCTTCCGCATGATCTCTAACTGACGCTCCTGCTCTTGCCTCATTGTCGTCATTTGGGCCTCCATTTCGCGTCTCACTTCACTGGCCGCCAATTGTCGTACTGTTTCAAGTTGAACCTGTGTCAGATTGGGTTGACGTGACCCCCCTTCTCCATCTCTAAGTCTTTGAAACAGATTACGATCACCAACTCTCAAGCCGGCGGCCAAATTTTCTCCCGCAAAAAAGCAACCATTAGGCCCTTTTCCATTAACAACCTCATTCCAAATATAGAAATCAACATCCCCATTAAGCGGCTCCCCTTCTGCTGGCCTATATTGCGGATTGTGTTCCAGAAAACGTGCTAGCAATGTCTGATAATCATCCTACACATACATTAAATAATACAATTAAAAAAAAAATTAAAACATTTATATATTAAATTATACTAAATTCAAATATATTAAAAATTTGTCACGTGATTTTCACAAATCAACTTATGAATTGCCACGTGAGTTTCCCGTGGCAATGTATCAGTTGCCACATGAAAATCAGTCACCTGGCAATTTATCAGGTGCCACATGATAATCACGCCACAACTTATAGATTGCCACGTGGAAATAACGTCACTATTTTTGTTATTAACTTAAAAAAAAAAGTTTAATTACTTACAAAAGCTTTCTGGGTGCGGTCGTCGACAAAACCTCTCGATTTCTTTGTCCGAGTCCTCGTAATCAACTCAATGATCAATGGTGGTCTCCCCATCTCCTTAGTCTAAACAATAAAGTTAAAAATAATTAGTAAAAAATATTATGAATAAAAATATATATAACTTAAAAAATTAGTAATATTTACCATCCGCCGGACATGCTCTGCAGTGCTAATACTTCCAACAGTATTGACACATCCCCCTTTTCGGATGCCCTCATCTTCTTAAAATTTTCGGATTTGGCCTTGAATTCTAGCGAACCCCAATATGTACGAAGTTCGCCAAAAACCTCTACGCCTATCCAGTTAGGACGGATACCATGCAGCTCATAATTCTCCCTAACCCGCCGCATTATATCAGAAAATCTTCTAGAAGTTCTGCTATAATAGATTTTTTCCATAATTTTCTCATTCAACGGATCCCACACACATTTTTCCTGCAATGTTGTATGACATTAAAATAAAAAGTTAAGCAATTATCATTAAAATGTGACTTAAATAACAATACTAAAAAAATATATTAAATTTACAACTTAAATAAATAACAATACCTTAAATTTTTTAAACCATTCTTCTTTATTTGTAACCTCGCCAAAGTTCTTCCAAGAGGATTTATACATCTGCTGGATTATATAATTAATAACCTTGGCAGCCGTCCGACTCGGCGCGAAACTAAACAACAAGATTTTGAATAAACAATATTAATTATAAATTTATACAAAATATTAAAATGAATATGTACTTAAATAAAAGTTTATATAAGAAACTTACTTGCTTCCTTCGGGCCAAATCCAAAACCTCCCGTCAATGACATGAATCTCACTCGGATCATCTGATCTCTCACGAATATCAGCTCCATCTATATCATCAGCTACGACATCTGCATCACCGTCAGCCTGTGTAGGACGTGGGGTGCTGGATCCTGCAGCCTGTGTGGGATGAGGGGTGCGTGACCCTCCGGTCCGTCTAGGACGTGGGGCGCGGGATCCTGCAGCCTGTGTCGGACGTGGACTGATGGGTCCTCCAATGTGTGTGGAGTGTGGGGTGATGGACCCTCCCGCCTGCTGGAAGGATGAATACATCTGTGTGGGTCCCCCTGTCTGCTGGAATGATGAAGGCACGCCAGTCTGTATAAATGGAAAACTGGGTCCTCCCCCCGTCTGCTGGAATGATGAGGGGACACCAGTCTGCTGGAAAGATGAAGGCACCTGGGTCGGTGGGAAAGGGAAACTAGATCCTCCCGCATGCTGGAAGGAAGATGGCATCTGAGTCTGTGGGAAAGGAACACTAGATCCTCCCGCCTGCTGGAAGGATGACGGCATCTGGGTCGGTGGGAAAGGGAAACTAGATCCTCCCGCATGCTGGAAGGAAGACGGCATCTGAGTCTGTGGGAAAAGGAAACCGGGGCCTCCGGGTGGCACAAAAGATGCAGGTACCCCAGACGGGAATGTATGGGAGGAGAGTAATGGGACAAAACCCTGAGTATTGGCCAGGGACATAGGATCAACCTGACTCTGAGGGGGTGGGCACATGGCTGAGTGAGGAGACTCACATGTTACTACCCTCGGACGCTGAGACTTCTTACCGGTATCCTTATTCTTCAGTGGCATTTTACCTAGTTATATATATTTTCATAAACAAAGATAATAAAGTCATTGACATAAATATATATTCATTGACAAATTCAATATATACATGTTCAATAGATATTCATTAATATTACATTAAGTGATTAATTAATCTAAATCTTCATGCTCGTTATCCATATCATGTTCATCATCCGATGTAATATTTTCCTCGGATTCAAACTCTTCATCATTGTCTTCATCCACATTATTATCAACCAACAATATAGACGCATCAACTTGAAGTCCCTCAACAGTTGTATCGGACAAAGTTGTAATGTCTTCAGCTGCAACCACATCATTAATCTGTTCAACGTCATCAACTTGGTAGGCAACATCTTCCACTAGATCTCCAGTTTCAATATGACCTAGCGGTTTTGTTTTTATTACAACACACCATCCTCTTTTACGTATTACAAATGAAGGATAAGGAACATAATAAACTTGCCTAACAATATGTGACATTATGAAAGGGTCATATTCTTTGTATCTCCGGTTCATTTGAATCTCGACAGAACCATATGACCCCTAGTGGAAATCGAGGCGGAGGCTAATCTTTCTCTCGTACATCTTTTTTAAAATTTGTCTTGTTTCTTCTATACGGATGATTTGCTGGTAGGAATCTGCGCTGACAGTCAAACCATGAGCTTTTCCCACCTTTATCCAACGTAAATGCTTTGGTGTATCCCATGCAATGCGGACAACCCATTTTTCCATGCGTACCCCAACCAGACAACATGCCATATGCTGGAAAGTCATTAACGGTCCACATCAAGGCAGCTCGTAATGTGAAGTTCTGTTTACGGGATATATCATAAGTCCATTCTCCAATCCACATCTTCTTCAAATCATCAATTAAAGGTTGTAAGTACACATCAATTCCGGCTTTTGGACTGTGCGGGCCTGGAATAACACACGTAAAAAACATGTATGGTTTTGTCATGCACATCTCAGGAGGGAGGTTGTAAGGTGTTACAATAACTGGCCAACAAGAATACGCACTTCCTGACGCTTGCACGTATGGGGCAAATCCATCAGAGCATAATCCAAGCCTGACATTTCTAGGTTCTGCAGCAAAATCTGGATGTGTCCGATCAAAGTGCTTCCATGCCTCACCATCAGATGGATGTCGCATAGTGCCAGAACTTGTTTGGTTTGTATGATGCCATGTCATTTGACTTGCACTGTGCATTGAAGCAAACATTCTTTTTAACCTTGGTATTATAGGAAGATAAAACATGGATTTTACTGCTACACGCTTTTGCTTGCTGTTAACGGCTCTACTGCGAACTTGATATCTTGGACTATTACAAAACTTACACTCCTCTAACGATCCATCTTGAGTACCAAACTCATTGTCATAAAACAACATGCAACCGTTAATGCAACAGTCAATCTTTCTTATTTTTAAACCCAACTTCGACACCCACTTCTTTGCATCATAATAACTTGTAGGCAAATTGTCTTTCGTAGCGGTGGAGTCCAACATCATTTTTGCAAAATGTTCCAGACATTGATCAGAAACATTCCAATTTGACTTGGCGGCCAATAATCTCACACACATTGATAGCTTCGAGTCTGACGACCCCTCAAACAACGGCGTATTCATCTCGTTCAATAATTGATAAAATCTTTGCGCTTCCTCATTCGGCAACTCTTCCCCGTCAAAATCTTCAGGTTCATCATATGTCACGTTCACACCAAAAGCATCCTCAACCATGTCACCGATCAAATTAAAGTTCTCCTCATACTCCATAACCGGTCGACTACTTGAAGCATGCGTGTTGCTAGTCTCTGGTACATTAACCGGTAGTTCTTCACCATTATACGTCCAAACCCAATAATTTTCAATGAATCCCCTTCTATGCAGATGACATGTTACTTCCTCTGGGTCACTAATTATTGGTCTACATTCACATTTAAGACAGAGACACCTAACCCCTCCTTCGCTTCGACAACAATCCTGAGCAAATGCCCACTTAATAAACCCATCAACTCCTACTATAAAATTGGGTTTAAGTCCACTTCTTCCTGGATATGTTCTATCGTACATCCAACTGCGATAATACCGATAATATTCCATACTGCACATTTATACAATCATTGTCTTTTTCATTAGAAATATTAATCAACTTAATAATATTATTCTTAAACTATTTAATACTATTCTTAAAAATATAAATTTTGCTTTTTTATATATATACTAACATATAAATAAATATTCAAATGTAAAATATATAATTTTTTATTACATAACAATAATATCAAAAAACAATAATATAACATATTTACTTTTTATTATATATACAACAATAATATTAGAAAACAAATAATGTAACATATATACTTTTTATTATATATATAACAATAATATTAAAATAATAATAATATATATATATTCTTTTTTTAATTATGTTTTTTATAAATTCTTATTTTAATATATAATTTTTTTTCCATATCTTTAACATATAAATAAAAAAATAAAACTATTATAATAAATATAATATACATCTATAAAAAATATGTTATTAAATATGTTATTAAATTTATGTGTTAACATATATATATATACATCTATAAAAAAAAAACTTTTAATTTTATGTTTTCTAAAATTTTTTATTATCAATACATATATACTACTAACAAAATACATATACTTCCTAACCACAAAATACATATACAAATCTAATCTATATAATACATATAAAATCTAAAAAAAAAATGCATAAATACCTCTATATAATTTCTTCAATAAATTTGCGTCTTCTTGGATAGTTCTTGGTGTTCTTCTTCAAATTTCTCTACAAATAATAATGAACAAACGAACAAATACCATTTTTAATATTTCATTCCAGTATAATAAATAATGAACAAACGAAATAAACATTTATCAAAATATGAATACCTTATTTTTCTTCAACAATTTAGGATGGAGGAAATTTGATTCGGGAATTTGGGTTTGAGAGGAAGAATTATGGGTTTGTGAGGAAGAAGCTGTAAAAATGTGTTTGAGAGGAGGAAGGAAGAAGAAAGCACGCTTCTGTAAAAATGAAAATTTTGAACATGTAACTTCTAGTAGCGACGTGACTGTCACGTCGCAACGTTGCCACGTGATAATCACGTCGCTACAAACTAAACATAAATATTATTCTCTCTCCCACCCTGCAACTCTGTCATCAGCGAAATTTATTTTTCCCCCTAAAATATAGCGACGTGGCTATCACGTCGCTACCAAAATTCAAATTCCCCCCTGATAAACGTTCACAAATTTGCATTATATGTCATTAAAATATATTAGCGACGTGGTTATCACGTCGCTACTACCCACGTGATAAGCACGTCGCTAATATATGTCGCTGGGGACATATATTCTTGTAGTGAATATTTTAATCCGTAATTTCATGTTTCCGTTATTATTTTAAAAAAATTAATCGCAAATTAATATTCTAATATTTACGAAAATGCATATGTGAAAATGATTCTCCTGCAAATATCAACCTTATATTTATCATTTTTAGTACCTTGTGAAATTCCGTACTTTTATTAGATAATACCTCAAAATAGATGGTTGAAAATGAAGTCAAACTTGAAGTCATTGTAGTGGTTGAATTTTACAAGTGCACCATTACGCTTATTGTAGGAAGAATTTTTTTCACATACTGAATCATATATAGTGAAGTGAAGAACCGATGATATTATAGGTTTTTCAGGAGAGAATCGATGGAATTAATCACATTAGATAATAACTTTAAAATACATATATTTCTTTTAAAATTACTATAGGATATAGGTTTTTCAAGAGTGCTTTAATACAATTCTTAAAATGAAACACATAAAAGTTGGAATGTATATGGCTAGCTATGATATATACAGAACAACAGACATGTGATGAGTTATAGTCAATGCATATAAGTTTGTGAATTATACTTTCTCCAAATTTATAGTGTGTTATAGTTCTTGTGTAATCTTTGCAGTATTTATTCATGAAAACCTTCTCATATGGGGGAAATTGTTAGACATCGACCAAATAGTCGTTTACAAAGGCACTGGTGTTAAAACAACCAACTTGGTAACCTTGTATCCAGATGAATTGCAGAAAATTGACAATCATATTTACTTGAAGAAATATTAGATCATAAGTAAAAACAACTATACACCTGCAATGCAAACCATACACAAATTATTTGATATATGAATTTCAACATAAACTCAACTCTTTCAAAGATATGCAATACCTATGCAAGGCCTGCATAAATTCAAATACCAGGCAGAAAAATATCAATCATAATATTCAAATAAAGAGAACAACTCGTAAATTCATTTGCATGTAATAACCATTTCAGGAACACTCGACATACCAGGAAATATATTTCCACTCCTGTATGAACTGTTCATGTCCCTGTGGTTGTTTGTAAATAACTGAGTATGATGTCTTTTTTGTACAACTATGAAAGTTACCGAAGGTTGATAGTTTGGATCCTAAGAAGCACACTCCTTTATAAATAGCTTATATATTAATATAGGAACAACCACAACAAACAATTACAGTAAGAGTGAGTCAACATTTCAAACCTTCATGTTGTAATCCAAAATTTGTCCTCTCATTTTATTCAAGGCATGCTCATTAAAGTCCTCAATTGCTCAAGAAGCTTCAAATGATTTCCATGGCACCCTATACACCTCAGCATAATGGCATATCTGAAAGAAAGAAAAGAAGTGTACGGAACATGATGAGGTGCAAGTTGAAAGCTAAAAATATGCCTAAGAGATTTTGGGTCGAAGCAGTTTCGATAGCAATATACAATCTGAATAGATGCCCAACGAAGCAGTGTTAGCTGTGATTTCGATTACACAAGTTTTGAATAATAGACACTATGACCGAAAAAAGGATAGTTTGAAAGAAAATGTGAGGAGGCTTTTATGAAGTCTTTGATTAATGAAGGGCTAGTAAAGAGCTTCGAAGGATTCGTCTTCGAACTATTGAAATATAAGTTATTCGAAGCATTACAAGGGAAGACATTTCGACTGTCATGTTGATTTCAATTGGCGCTTCGAAAGGAAGAAGATTTTGAATTCAAAAGCTTTGAAGAAACACGTGGAAGTCTAATGGTTCGAAGGACATGCAACCTTCAAATGTGGCGTGATTTCATAGAAGGACTGTTAGGGTTGAATCAGCCAAATATAAGCCCTCTTAGAGTCTTTGGATCAATGTGTTTCAGGCATGTACCTGAACAAACAAGGAAGAAGTTGGATGATCAAAGTGAAGTCTTGGTGCTCATAAGTTATCATTCGATTGGTGCATATAAGCTGTATTCGCCAATCGAAGATAAACTGTTGATCAATAAAGATGGGCTTAAAGATGAAAGCAAAAGGTGGGATTGGAGTCGAAGTTCAATTCGACAAGAATCAGACACCTGCACAACTATGTTCGAAGAAGATGAACAGAACGAAGCTTTGACAAGTCAATAGGAAGAGGTGATTCTTCGATTGGTCGAATTGAAGGAAAGGAGATCGAAAAGAACAGAACGAAGCTTCAACAAGTCCAGATGAAGAGGTGATTCTTTGATTGGTCGAATTGAAGGAAAGAAGATCGAAAAGAACAGAATGAAGCTTCGACAAGTCCATATAAATGGGTGATACTTCAATTGGTCGAATTGAAGGAAAGGAGATCGAAAAGGAACAAGAATTGTTCGATTAGGCTGATGTTTCCAGATCAA